AATCTGCAGCGTCATCCTCCTCTAACACCTGTATGATATAAAGGATATTTTCAAGGCAAATTAGTGAGAAAAACTCTTTTTCTATTTATTACTCATTCTGGGCGATCTGTGTTGAGTGTAAAATTTTTTGAATTATATTTATATATAACATATAGACATGTCACCTAGACATGGGGAATTACTACTAATAAATCTGATTATATATAGCGCCTTTTACGGTGCAACATTTCAATATGCTATGGAAAAAAAAAGAATGAAACAGGAGAGGGGTATACACAAATCCACACAGTGAACTATATGGGGATAAAAGACCATAAAATGAGTTTTAAGGCAGGTTTCAAGTGCTGACTGACTTGCAGAAATGTGATACGCAGTGGGGAGTCATTCCGCATTCTTGGAGTAACAGAACAGAAAGTTCAGTCTCCCCGTGTTTGGAGTTTCAGCACTGGGAACTGAAAGAAGGCCAGAGACTGACGCGTTTCTTACGGTCTGTAGGTGTGTCGGGAGTTAAGAGTTCACTGATGTACTCACTTGGCAAACCATTCAAGTTCAGACGGGCGAGCAGCAAAATCTCAAATCTTATTCTGAAATCTACAGGGAGCCAGTGCAATAAGACTAAAGCAGGCGGTACAGGCTCATGGATTTTAGATTCTGTTAACATCAGAGCAGCGGAGTTCTGAACATTGCTGCAACATGACAAAAAACATGATTTAGATACACCACCAATAGATTATAATAAAACAAACACTCAATTCAGTGCATTAAATAGGACAGACGTGATGTAACATCATTTGAAAAAGCTGTTGCTAGTTGGAAAGGCCAGTCTTCAGTGGCAGAGACTGGCTCTTCACAATCTGGGTCCACACTCGACTTCTCATTTGCCTCTCCAAACACAGGACCCTAATCCCTAGCAACTGCAGGCGGTGATGATACTTCTGCAATTACAGACATACTGCACTTTGACTTCACTAATCACCCCTGAAGAGCTTATTGTTACAGGGAGGCTCCTCACTAGAAACACTGAATGACATAATGCTCCACCAGTCAAAGCAATGTCCCACAAACACGTCTCTGAAAGTCGAAAGCTGTTCACATTTAGTGTGCTTGGAGTTCCGTCGTTTATAATGCTGTTCAGCTAAAGGCGATGGCAGCAACACGAGACAGAAATGTCTAAGCAAAGCAGAATGATGAAATCCCTCAATTCCTACTAACCCGTATGGCACTACATCTTAGATTTGCAGAACAAAAAAGCTTAGCTGTTGAAGGAGACCTCAGTATCCAGTAGTAATACACTCAAAGGGGTTTAAACAATAAAATGTCAAACATGAACAAAGAAGTGAAAAATGACCATGCATTATGCCATGCTCAGAAAGTTCACTCAACAGAGATACAATGTGAAAAGGCAGTACGATGACAGCTGGAAACTGTCTTCAAGGAGCAGTTCCTGCTCAGTCTGACGTCATCCTTCTTCAAACATTTCCCTTTGCAAAGCACCTGCCTGACCAAAGTAAGACCGTTTTAAGATGTTCCACACCTGCAAGGTGAGATTGCATTGATACTGAATCACCTGGAAGTGTTTTTTTTTTATTATTTCTTAATCTTCAGAAATTTCAAACCAACCTGAAAGGAAAGCATAGGAAAACTGTGCATCACCCTTCCCAGCAGTTTTGACTGCCAACCTGCTGGACGAGGAACTAAACTCCAATTAATAGTCAAATCAACAAAATGTGGGAAGGTTACCAATGAGATGAGGCCACTTCTAACTAATTTAAATATTTTGGTGAATCCAAAATCATTGCAATTGCCTGCTATTACAGTGGCTTCTCTCTCTTGTATTGTTTCATTCATAATCCTGGCATTTATGTGTAAGCATTTAATTTTCTGGTATTTAAACATTTTTTTCCTTAAGTTCTCTTTTTCACTCTACTGTCCTTCCTTCTTCCTTTCAACAGAATCTTCACCTGTCCCTTCCATTTAATTCAGTTCTGTTCCAGTTTATTATTTTTTTTATTCAAAATTCTCTGTTTACCTTCAAGGGTGTCACATTTGTGCAGAAACAAAGCGAGCTTTCAGGCCGGGCAATGAATCATAGCCTTCGCTGTGGCAGCAAAGCCCTAACCTCAAAAAAAAAAAACTTGAGCAACAAAAGCCTCTTAGAACAACCTCACCTACCCAAGATTAATCTTGCGTTCCACGTGTATTAAAAAAACAGCCAGGCGGTGCAGACAAAACATGGCCAGTCTGAGTGCAGACCGATTCTGGGGC